ATGTTTAATCCTAGAAAGATAACCATATGACAACGTACGTAAAAGATAACCATACGCTTCAGAGGCGCATGCTTTTCTAAGGCGTCAATTTTATACTAACAATGGATATTGATTTAAGTTAATCTAGTCATTTTAAAGGTTTGGCATTATTGTAAAAATAAAATGCATTTATATTATATTTTTTTATATTTTAAGTAATTTTAAACTTAAATCACTAGACCTCTATGAAAAATTAACAAAAATCAACAGTCTTCGCAGGCGCCTCTGCGACGTAGGTTATCTTTCTCGGTTAAAATCCGCAGTCTAGTTATCAATCTGCTTAAAGAATGAATTAATTCGAATTCCATATTACTATACTTATGCAATACTTATGCGATACTTATGCAATCATAAGACGAACACAGAGATGCGATCTGTATACGTAAACCACTCTTATCATTTCGTGAGTGCGGATATTACGAAACTGGTGTGAACGATCGTAGATTTAGTAAATACACAATAAAAGTAGACAGATATTTGGTACAAGAATATATTTATAACGAAGGATCGGTTACTCCAAGGAGATCGATATTTCTGATGACTGTACAAACGCTTGTAATGAGCCACCACTAATCCATGTTAGTCACCGGATCTTGAGTAAGGCGATCCGATAAAATATTTGGAGACCACACAGATTGATTGTATGCGATTACAGTAATAATTTATTAATCTAGGATTGACTAATATTTTAGAAATTATTTGTTTCCAAATAATCAATGTCAATTCAAATACATTGTCATTCTTCGAATATACACTCGGTAAGGAAAATATGCGTGCACCCTTTAAAACGGAATAACATTTATAAAACTGGACCAAATGACTTGAATTTTGTTATGACGTCAGAAGGATTAGTTTACTAGACAATGAGCAAAACGATTTGCAGAAAAATTACAATTGGTTGGAATAATAAAAAATAACAAAATGATATTTCTCAATTTTTTTATCTGAACCTATAACGAAAATTTAATCAATGCATTTTGTAGATCTCGGTAGTTTAAGTGTATACTTAAAAATTCATTCATTCACTTAAAAATTTCATATAAAATTAAGTAATTTAGTAGAATCTCGATTATTCGAACCAGATATAGGTGTTAAGAAAACATAATCATAATTTTGTTACAGTACTAGATTAAATTCTTACAGATTTGTGGATCAACTTAAATTGAACGACTTAGCTTACCTGTAAAACCTATTCATCGTAGATTTAGATAAGATTCTACTGTACATTTATTGTGACAGTGCAACTACTATTTGAACTTCTCCTTATCTTTTATTCAGAAACGTAAATTATACAGTATCGAATGTTTGGTAGAAAGTCATTACATTTTATTAAAGAATTTAGCAAAAAGAAGATAATTTTTAATAAGTTTTTTTAGCTTACCGAAAATATGTACAGACCGAAAGATTCGTTGTTGAAAAACCCACAAATTACACTTTGAAATTTTTGTCCGCATCTAATGCTTTCCGAGAAACTCAATAAGATTTTTCAACTATAACTTTACAAGCTGTTTTTACTCCTGTAATGTGGGCTATAATCGACAAAAAAATACACGTTAAGTATTTTTTGCGAGTCCTATCCCATGCTAAAAGCTCATCAAAATCGTGTCTCTAAGTCGTTTATGCCTAGAGGAGAAATGAGCAATAAAAAAGGCAGCAAGAAGAATTCAACCGGGAGCTAATGAGGCTATGGCAGAATTGTGTTCATTATTCTCTGTAATTGCCTTACCGCTTCTGAACAATGCAACTACGGTTTACAAGGAACGCTATGCACCTTCACATTTTTCACAACTCTTGCATCTACAAATAATAAAATATTAAATAAAGAATTAAAAAGAAGCTATAATATTTTCTCTTTTTATTTTGATATTTCAATTTATCAAATATCTCTATAAAACAAATGGTAAAGGTTCTAAAATAGAAGCAAAAAAGAAAACAAAAGCCATTATTTGAATTTATTTAAAACTACGTTTGTAAATTTATTTTGTATGCATTTAATAATTACGATTGAATTTATGATTTGATCTTTATTATTTCGCGAAGCATTAAATATTTTTAAGAAGTATAAAATCACTAAAATTTCTCGTTTTGAAGTAAAATAACGGGGAAAACTGAGACAGATTGAGATATGTTCAGTAGCCTACAATTTTTGCAACTTTGTTCGGATCAATTGTTTAATAAAAAGCATGCTAAAATGTGCTCTGGTTCTCTTTCTTTATACATTGTAAATGAATATTTAAGAAAATACATCCACACACAAATATGTCTCTTCTTAGAAACGTCTTATCTATTTCCAGTTAATAGAATAAATAGCAGATTTTATGATATTTACAATTTTTATAACATCGTTACATATTATCTATTTGTTTCATTATCATTCGATTCTCTTATCTTATAGCATGTCATATTGATAATCTAAACTAAATGTGGTCGGTACACGTCCGGTCATAATATTGCAGTACCGCAATAGATAAGTTTAAACTGAAAATATCTATAGCAGTACACTTCCATCTGCAGTGGTGTATAGTTCAGTTTTTTTACCACAGTTCAGTGAAGCATTTCACAAGATTGAAAATAACGAAAAATCGAATTAATATTTCTCCGAGCTTGGTCTTAATATTATACATATTGTAGACAACGTCTAATACCTGTGTATTATACATATTGTGCTATTGAAATGGAAGAGCGACGATACACATACAACCGTTTGTCAAATTATATGAAAGAGGGTGTTGCGGTTCTTAAAATATCGACAACCTTAGAACGCAGTGATACAAGAAGTATAAATAATTTAAAAAGATCAACGGTTTACACTTTCCCTCAAAATCAAATTGCACCGAATTCAAAGGCGGCCCCAATAAACAAGGGAAATTCAAATCTTGAGCCGAAATTCCAAAAAGAAAGAAAACCGTACAACGATAAGCCTATAAGAACTACTAAAAATTTTATCGGAAAATCCTGCTACAATGTATGCTACTATTATTCACGCATAGCTACATCAAGCAAAAATAATATTATTCTTTTCTGTAACTACAGCAGCAGTGTAATTTTTTACGGGAAAATGTGATACTGTTTTTCAGCTAGGAGAGAGAGGTTCTGGATTTAGGCCACAAGGATCTGTACAAGACTTCAATACTCTCAGGCGAGAATGTTTGGCTACTGGCTCGCTTTTCGAAGACCCCGAATTTCCGCCAGTAGACTCGTCCTTGTATTTTTCGAGAAAACCTGACAGATACATAGAATGGAGAAGGCCTATGGTAAGAAATCGTGACCGAACTACAATAAGTGAAGATAGTATTTGTACGGAATATATTAAAAGTGCGATAACCTTTTTATAGTTGGACTAAATAACTTGAATTTTTTGAGACGTTAAAGGGAATAGTTTATTACACAGTGAGCAAACAAAGTTTTGCAAAAATACCAATTGTTTAAAATAATAAAAAAATTGTTTCTTCACGTTTTTGGTCCGAGCTTATAATAAAAAGTTAAACAATGCACATTGAAGACCCCGGTAACTTAATGTATACATACACATACATCCTGTATCGAAATCGGTTGACACGGGGTCAAGTTATCACCATTGAAACATATCATTTGATCAAATGTTAAAGAAGTTATTACATTTTAAAAAGTGTCCGAATATCATCGTAATTCACTGTATTGTAGAAATGTGATCGTATTGCTCTAGATATTGCACTGTAGAATTCAAGTGTAACGTCGAATCTATGTTGTAGACGTTTTATCTATTTTATGTGGGCCAATATTAACCAACACTTCAGTAATATCTAGATATTCTCAATTTACATAAGATTGCCGTGTTAACCATACATAGATGACGCAATTTTACACCGCGAATTCTATAAATTTACATTAACATTGAATAGGTGAAGTACAAGATTGTGCCAACAGAAGAAAATTTCCGAATATTCTTACACTACTTTTAACTTAACTACTTTGCATTCGATCTATTCATTTTTGTAATAAATGTATAAAATTTGCACTCTACTTGTTACAGTTACGGAAAGAAAACGTTAATATTTATTTCAATTCTAATGCTTCCAATTGACTTGGAAAATTCGTATGTTATACAATAAAAAAAAAAATCCGAAATCTAAATATAACAAATATGATTGGAATTGAGAAAGTTACTAAAATTTAAAAAGTTTGAAAGAATAATGAAGAGATTAAAAAAAATGTACATCGTTATATAGTAATGACAGGATTGATTTAAACTTTGTACGATTAATATTATTAAAAAAAAAATGTCAAAAAGCTTCCCATAAAAACATTTTTATAATGTCTAGTAAAAGAAAAAATCTGAAATCAGTCATTTTTACTGATTCGGTAGTTCTAGTGTTAACTTTCTAGTTTTACCAACGTCTTGAAGCTGTAAAATAAATTTATTTTTCACCCCTTGCCATACTCCGACTCGTCATAAAAATTTCCAGTAATAACTTATTGAGTACAGATGTTATTCTGTCCATTAAAATTGGAATAAAATTCGAATCTTTTGTCACCAATATTTAAACATTCAAGTAAATTTAGGCACACAATGTAAGCATCAATTTTCTTTCCCTTCTAAGAAATTATTGCAATCGAAAAATTTCTAATCGCAGTAACTGCGATGAAAATGGTATGGCAAAAGTTAATAAGAGTTTCTTAAAGCATATAATTTGAACTATATAGCACTTTATCGGAATATGTTGCTTGCATTCCTTATCGTAGGAAATCACAAACAATCCTCAACTGTTCGTGGAGGGTTTCTCCAGATTCGACGTGCAGCAAGGTGAATTAGGAGACTGTTGGCTAATCGCCGCCGTTGCGAACCTTACCATGGATCCGAACTTATTTTTCCAAGTGGTACCGGAAGATCAGAGCTTTGAGGAAAACTATGCTGGTATTTTCCACTTCAGGTACAGGAAAACCTATTTGTATCAGAGGAACATAGAAAAAAAGTACTTGTTCATTCAAACAATCCTATGTGACTCAAATGCGCTTAAAAATAACATTCATTTATCAAGTCTGCACGTATAACAATAGAAACATACATTAATTAATATCAAATGTAGCAATCAGTCGTATTGTATGTACGTGGGTGTAGTCGCATTGGCTACGAGGTCATTAGCGACGGGAAGAGCCTGGCGTGGTACGTTTTATCGTACACATTTGTTTCTGTTACAAAGATTATTGTGTCCATATTACATAATACAAACAAAAATTACATTTCGAGTCAGTAAATAATAAATTAAATAAAAAGAATAATACATGAGGTAAATAACGTAGATGTACGAAAAATACCTAAATTGTAGGAAAATTTTTCTCGAATTCGAGTGGAGACCCCCAAAATACTGAAGATTCCGCTTATTTAACACGTTAAATGCTGAGAATCAACCCCAAAAATACCCACACGATCTAAGTAATTTGATCAATGAAACTGAAACTAGAAGGCTAAAATTGATCATAATGGATCGTATTTTAACTGTTCTACATCTTAATCATCCTGGTATTATAATAAAAATGAATTATGAAAACTTGGTAAAAATTAGTGTCCCCCATATGTGACCGACGCGGCATTCGACGTGTTAATTGTGGCAGTCGTTTATTTGAGGCAAGACTCGAAGTATAGAATCTGATCAAAAAGTTCTCGTTCTCTTCACTTAATTGAGACAATCGCTTAATCGGACTAAAGAACGCTAGTTTCGATATGTCCCAAATAATCGATTTTAAACTAGTTACTTATCTAACATCTTCCACATTCATACTTAGCATTCATTCATTCTTTTCTCGTTCACAATCGATTACCTTACACGGTTAAACTACGTACCCACATTAGTCTAATCTAATCTACATAATATTCTACTATGATATATATAGCTCTATTTTTATCCCCTCCTTCTTATATTTGTGTTTCTCTTAATTTTGTATTTCAATGCTCGTTCTTCTTTAGTATTGTTCTTTATTTCTCATTTCCCATTTCTAACTTTTGCAATTCCTACCTTTCCCTTTCCAGCACTCTACACCATTTCAACATCTTTTCACTGCTCTCCTCTGCAACTATTCAAATGCAGTTCTGCTTAAAATTCCTAGTATTTTCCAATAAGGTGTTTATTATTCCTAAGTCTCATTGCATTGCGTACACTTCCTCTTTTCCTCATTTTCCCAGTATCTATGATTTTCCTCTAGATTCGTAGATCTAGTTCTTGCTTTCAATTTCATTCAGGATTTTTCCCTTTCTCTGTAAGTACTCCGGTAATTGCGTGCGTGATTCAATTTCCTTGTACCTCTTATTGTATTTCGCCCACTTATTGGATCTTCCCATGCAGTATTTGTCTATTTCTGTTTCCTTTCCTTTAATTTTTCACTCATCTTCCTCCTTCATATTTTGAGCTTTTATGCTCCTTTCTGGATATATCGTTTGCATTTTGTTTTCCCCATTCATTTACCGCCTGATTTTTAATCTTCTATACCAAGCATTTCTTCAGTGTCAGCTTACCTTTGCTCTGCTCTATTTCTTGCTCAAAGGTTGTTCTATTTGCTGTTTCGGCTTTGAATTTATATCTCAAAGTCTTTCTTCTTATTATATAATTAGGTGTGCATCTGTCCAGACCTAAGCACCACTTTATATCTACATGGTACACAAATACTGATTTCTAAATTCTTATTTAGAATAGCACACGATATGTCTGACTTTAGTAGGCCTGAGACTACTGTACCTATCCACAGTTGTATTTAATGAAACTAATCCAAAAATACGATTCTGGTTTTTGAAACCTGGTGAATTTTGAATTGTATACAAAATTTGTAACATTGTAGAGTAGAAGTATTTCGAAATCGTGTGGTGCCTTTTAAATTTGTATGATTTGTATGATAAAATTGCAATATTTTTACCAATTTCTGCATTATGGATATTCGTATGAACTTATTCATGATATCTTATATATATTTTCAAATATACATATAATAATATGTTTTATCCAGCCCTACAGTTAAGAGAATTGCACTTCGATTTATATTATCTTATTTTTTTATAAAATTTAGTTACTAATTCAGTTCATTCGTTCTCTCTCTCTCTCTCTCTCTCGTCCATTCTCTAAAGCTTTCTTGATTCGATTTTCTTTGGCATCCTTAATTATTCCCCTTTTCTCTTCTGTTCTTTCATAGGTTTCAATACATATATATTAATATTTATATTTTCAATGTATAACAGGTTCTGGCAATATGGTAGATGGGTGGATGTAGTGGTCGACGATAGGTTGCCGACTCACAACGGTGAATTAATGTATCTACGTTCTGCTGAGAGCAACGAGTTCTGGAGCGCTCTTTTGGAAAAAGCTTACGCAAAGCTCCATGGCTCGTACGAAGCATTAAAAGGTGGAACCACTTGCGAGGCAATGGAGGATTTTACGGGCGGTGTCACCGAGATGTACCAAATGGACGAGACTCCACCGAATCTGTTCAGCATTTTGCTAAAGGCTTACGAAAGGAACTCGTTATTGGGTTGTTCTATAGAGGTAGAACCAAACGGTCGATGCGATAACATGTTGTAATTCGTCAGTGTCTGTTGAATTTCTGGGGAAATAAAATCTGTTACTATTTTAGCCTGACCCGAATGTATTGGAAGCGGAAACGCCTCAAGGACTTATCAAAGGCCATGCATACAGTATTACGCGAGTCAAGTACGTGGAAATCCAAACGCCGAATCAGTTTGGCAAAATACCTCTGCTTAGGATTAGAAACCCTTGGGGCAACGAAGCGGAATGGAACGGTCCCTGGAGCGACCAGTAAGTTAACAAAATCACACCGGATGATGGGAAAGTGTTTAGCAACGTTAAAAGCATTTGGCATTCCTTAAATTGAGTATAGAAGCTTATAGTATGATAAGGTAGAATCGATGCATGCCTCAAATTCGAATTTTAAACTTGCGTCAAGGGTATACAAAAGCTTTTATCCTTTATACGCGATTTTATACTATCGTATAACTAGTAGTACAACCGGATAGGTACTGATTCTACGTAAAAATATAAGTTGGAAATATAGAATAAATTTTTTTCATTCAAAGTCCTGTTTTCGAGAAGAAGTAGGTCAAAAAAATAATACTATTAGCTAGGAATCAAATAACGCGTCTGATCATGACTTACCAATTCTAGTTCTCGTCATAGTAAAAGCTACGCGAACTTGACACATCTTCCAACTCAGTTTTCTCGAAAACGAAGCTTTAAATGAAAAAATATTTTTCTTCTTTTTCGACTTATTTTGTCCATATTGTCAGCTTATTGGATACATTATGAAGTAAGATATGCTCTTTTAAATCCACGCAACACAAAGGCTGGTTCATTTCAAAATTTGTTCAATTAAATAATTAAGTTTTCTACAGTTTAAGAACGGAAATTGATAGCATGCATAGTCTTGTTATACATATTTATAATGGACAGAAAATTGTGCTAAAAGTGATAAAGATTCATTTGTGGAACTTATGATTCGTTAGGTCACCAGAATGGAGATTCATCCCCGACCACGAAAAGGATGAGTTAGGCTTGACCTTCGACATGGACGGCGAATTCTGGATGTCGTTTCAAGATTTCACACGATACTTCACGCAATTAGAAATATGTAACTTGAATCCTGATTCATTAACCGAGAATGAGTTAAACGCTGGTAAGAAGAAATGGGAAATGAGTGTGTTTGAAGGAGAATGGGTACGAGGTGTCACAGCTGGAGGTTGCAGAAACTTTTTAGGTGATTCAAATTTTATGCTCGTACACATTCTGCGTATTTAACTTCTCCAAGACGGAAATAAATATAACTTCCATGGCCCTTTTCAGAAACATTCTGGCATAATCCACAATATCGAATTACGTTAGAATATCCGGATGAAGACGACGATAAATGTACGGTTATCGTTGCGTTAATGCAAAAGAACAGACGAGCACAAAGGAGAATGGGCGCTGATTGTCTTACTATCGGATTCGCAATATACCATGTGCGTACTGAAAATTCATACAAGCAATTCGTATAATTTAAATACTGCTTTATACCAAATGTGATTCCTATTGTATGTTATTTGAATAATCCGTCTGCTTTCAGCGATTTAAAAAATGCATCGAATTAGACTTCCTTAATTTCATGGAAAATTATAGCCATTTTAAACTGATTATTTTAGCGAGCGATTTTTCAATAATTTTGGCTACTGAAGATCACTAGCTTACAGATATTCAAAATCTGTTCAAAAGTATTAATTTGTGTTCTTTTAAAAGCATCTAACTGATACAAATCATCCTCGTTGTAAACTTGCATAAATCGATTCTAGATATTTGTGCAAGATCAAACTTTTCTTTTATGTACGGAAATCAAAATTACGAAGATGTTTATTTCTTGAATCTTTAAGCAAAGAATAATGTAAACACCTGATTGAAATTAATTATACTTTGTATTAATATATACATAACACTTACAAAAGAGTAATTATATTGTAAATTTATAAATTGTAGTTGGAGTATCCTGAACGACTGCCCAAACCACTGGACATCAACTTTTTCAAATACAACGCGTCAGTGGCCAGATCGCCATCATTTATAAACTTGCGAGAAGTTACATGCCGTTTCAAATTGCCGCCCGGTGTGTATTGTATAGTTCCGAGTACATTCGATCCTAACGAGGAAGGTGAATTCTTGCTTAGAATCTTCTCTGAAAATAAGAATAACATGGAGTATGTATCAATTATACATATTTGAATTAATTAATTTAGAATATGTTACACATTCGAAAATTTTATTTTTCAGAGAGAATGATGATGAAGTCGGTATTGGAGAAATTGATGATAGGGTAAGACTATACATGTTTCTTACACATTATATGTCTTAACTGTGCACTGTCCGCACTGTAAACAAAGATTACTAATTCACAAGAATAACGAGTACTGATGCAAAGTATATACTAAACCTACTGAATCTATTTTCGTTATTCATTCACATAAACTATAGACTGTTCCAAAACTTAGTACTATCTGTTTTACTGAACAATATTAACAGTATTAAAAATTAGAAATATATGTAAAAAGTGATATGTAATATACATACATATGTGATATATAAAAGGATTCAATACATAATAAATTATTGTATATATACATATTCAATGTATGTAATTCATAGAATTTTTGGAACAGGCTTTTGACATATTAAGAATGAGCAATATAATGTATGCTAAGCTTCTGTAATGCTTCAAAA